GGATTGGAATGCACATCCGTTGAAAGGTGAATATTTGCATGTTAGATGTTGTGCTCATATTTTAAATCTTGTTGTCAATGATGTATTGAAAGAGTTGCATGCTTCAATTACTAAAATAAGAAATGCTGTTAGATTTGTGCGTGCTTCCCCTAGTCGTATGGATAGATTCAAGACTTGTATAAAAGATTGTAGGATACAAGAGGGTGGCATAGTGCAATTAGATGTTCCTACTAGATGGAACTCTACTTATATTATGCTTGAAAGTGCATTAAAGTTTCAGAAGGCATTTAAAAGGTTAGGAGAGCGTGTTGCTGAATATGCAATGATGCAAGGTGGAATTCCAAATACTGAGGATTTGGATAATGCTCGAGTGTTTGTGAGATTTTTGAAAATTTTTCATGATGTCACTGAAAAAGTGTCTGGTTCTTTATATGTGACTTCTTCTCAATATTTTCATGAGTTTTGCATGATATTGAATAACTTAAAGACATGGAGTGGGAGTATGGATCTATTACTTGGGCCCATGGCTGAAAAAATGAAAGCTAAGCATGACAAAAATTGGGGAAACATTAGAAATATCAACATGATGATTTTTATTGCTGTGATACTTGATCCCCGATATAAATTACGATTTGTGGAATGGAGTTTTGAGAAGCTTTATGAAAGGGAGGATGCAGAATTTTTAAGTGTTAGAGTTAAGGAGACTTTAAACAAGATGTTCCATAGTTATAAAGATTTTCATGGAAATAATCTTTCTAGATTGTCCACCAAAGATCATGAGATAGAAGACATTGATTTGGCAGCATTTGATAACTCTTCATTTGCAAGTGAATTTGAAAGGAACATAACTGTGAGTGAGAGCTTGAATAAAAATGAGGTGGACCTGTATCTCATGGAACCACTAGAGAAAGGAACTCAAAAATTTGATATCTTGAATTGGTGGAAGGTGAATTCTAGCAAATATCCTACTCTTGGTCTAATAGCTAAAGATGTATTGGCTATGCCAGTATCTACAGTTGCTTCAGAATCTGCATTTAGCACTGGGGGTAGAGTTCTTAACAACTACAGTAGTAGTCTTACTCCAAAGACAGTTGAAGCATTTATTTGTGCACAAAATTGGTTCCGGTCCACTCCTTTTTCCAATAATGTAGAAGAGCTTATAGAAGAATTTATAAAGATGGAGATAGGTAATTAATTTTATTCTACTTGTATAATTTTTTAATTTTATATCATGTTTTTATTTTTCTACTTGTTAAGTTACTAACAGTATTTTATTATAATTATTTTAGATATTTCTCCAAATATTGAAGTTGATGATGATTCTGGTGAGGATTCTGATTAAAAGTTGATGATGTAAGTTGATGAGGTTATATGTCAATGTGTCATTATAATCTGCCATTTAGGACTTGTCTTACAAATTAACAGTAACAAAAGCTAGATATTGAAGTGCTTTTGTTGTGTTGGAATAACCTCTATGTAATATCAAAATTAGCTTGGTACCTCATTACCTTATGGATTGCAAAGGCCATTTACACATTTGATTTTAGATCAGAGACTTTATGTGCTAGTTCTATTGGTTTTTTGATTAATTGATTTTCACTTGAGCATTATTTTTGCATTCATGACTCTGGCTTCATTGGTCATAATTTCTAGATAAACTTCATTTTAAAGTCTCTAATTCCTTTTTGTCTTCTTTTTTTCCCAAGGGTGAAAGTATTGTAGCAGATTTTGGCACTGAACAACTACAATTTATTGCTCTATCTCAAAGGATTGGGGACCCCAAGTATTAGCAGAAGATTTTTAACTGTCATTCTATATGTTAAATTTTTTTAAGGGAAAAAATGGGGTTTACTTTTTTGTTGGTCAAAATTAGATGTATTTTTATGCAGACTTTGTCATTCCCTTCACTTGTTATAATATGTTGTGTTGATGTCAGGTTTTGTAATTTTGTCACGGGCCTTCTTTGTACTTTGAACTTACTTGGAGCCTGACTGGTATATTTATTTAAGCACATAGCTAAGGGCCTTTTTTGTACTTTGTTAAGATATGCTCTGTTTATATATTACATGTGGAGGCAATTTTGGTAAAATTAAGGGCCTTGATAAAATTGTTTTTGGTAAAAATAATTTTTATAAATTCTGTTTTAGGCTTTTTAAAAAAACCGAAAACCGATCCAATCCAAATCGAAAAAAATTGGATCGGATCGGATCAGATCTGAAAAAAAAAAATCCAAACCGATGAGATTGGATCGGATGGTTTTTTGGTTCAAAACCGATCCAATCCAGACCGCGAACACCCCTACCCCTTAGTGTCTTACTAATGTTAACCCATGATAGGTAATTGGTTTGAATTAATGATTCCGCAATAGTTTACAGTTACGATAACAGCTTGGGTTTATTACGTTTTTATTGTTTTAAAATGCGCACGTAATAAACGAAAAAAGTTTACTCGCATTTTTATAAATGAACTGTTGTGATTGTAACTGCGTTTAATATCATAATCAATGTTAACAATACCGGTACGTAACGGGTTGTTACAGTAGATTAAGAAGAGGAAGAGCTAAGTGGGAGAGTATTTTCTCCTTGTTTTTCTATGGAGGGCTGGCCAAGCAAAAAGAGATGGTGAAATAAGAGGGGGAGGTCGTGAGAGCAAGAAGGAGAATTGGGAGGAGAGAGAGACAAATGGTATTTGAAAATATCTACTAAAAGAAATTACTCTTTTGTCCTTTCTTTGTTTTCCTCTCTTGCCCTTACTCTCTTAAGCCTCCTAAGTGTGATTCTCGTTTATTTGGGTCTACTTAAATTGTGTTATGATCTCATCCATTTTACATAATTTGCACTTTTGACCCAACATGTTTTTATTTGCACTTTTACTCCAAAAAATAACTTAACCCTTAAATTTAGTTTTTTCATCTAATCAATCTCTTTTAATTATTTAATAATTTCTAATTATTCAATGTAATTGTTCGAGTTATTACAGTGACCATCATAGGTATGTGCTGCCAAACCTGTAGGATACAAATTCAGATTGTTTCGTTTGTGTTCCATAATATATGTGTAACTATGCAGGATCCATGCATATTTAGGTAAATAACTTATTTCTTATAGTGTACTGTAAGAAAAAAGTGGTAACTATAACCTATCCTGATTTTAATTTTAAAAATAATCATTCTAGTAATAAATTAAATTCTAGCTTTTCATGAAAATTAAATTCAACAATTACTTTTCTTCATTGAAATTAGACGCCATAATTATCTCGTTCTTTAATAAATAAGATAATTTAAATTATTAAATCAAAACAAAATTAAAGAACATATATGGATATTAGAGTCATTCAATTAAATCTAATGGTTGTTAAAAAATTAATCAATGATTTAAAACTAAAAAAAAAAATGAAACGATAAAGCCCCTCTCCAAATACATCTTTAGGGAGGGGCAAAGAACTTTAAATGTGACTAAGCACCAATTTTGTATTAGTTTTATAACTGACTCAAAAAATTGAAACTTGTGAGAAAAGCTGACTCATCTCAAAAATATAATTAAAATCGGTATACCAAAATAAAATGAAAATATTAAAAACTGGAACGACAAACACTAATATCGATGAAGGTAAACAGTAATAGTTTCTTTGACTTTTATGAAGAATAAAATATGACTCTACTCATTAAATTTAAATAAAATATAACATATTAATTCATTTAATGTATTTTCTTTTCTATGTTTTATTTAATAATTTAATAAGTTATAAATTGAAAATATTTTATTGAACTCTTATAATATTTATATTAAAATTCTATACTTTTTCTATTTTTTAAAAAGCAAAATTCCTATTCACATGAAACAAAATTATACGCATATATCAAGCGTAATGGACAATCACAATTTACAACTCAATAAAAAGCTGCAAACATTAATCATAATTCCACACTGCTTGCTTTTGGAATGGAATTGTAGTTATCAAAAAGAGGTGTAGTGTAAAGTCTAGCAATCTAGTTGAAAGCAACCTACTCTCAAATTTCAAAATGCACAAGCATTAGACCAATCCAACAGGGAAGGATTAAGTTTGAAATATATGATGGATTTTCCATCATTAGCATAAGCCAAGACTCAACAAGCATGGTTCAAGTTTGTAATAGCATTTCAGCATATACAAGCAGTATAGATTCTAACATGCAGAACGAAGTGCATATCCTTATTTTCTGAATTTTTTTGCATGTTGTAGGGATGGTCCTATATAAGCTTTCTATAGATGTATTATTCATATAATTCGGAACACTACGGCTCTAGTTATGCAAAAATTAGAATTGTTAGAAAACAAGATTTTTAGCAAAACAACTATCTTTGTAAGAAATCTGGGATGAGTCCGCCTATACAAAAAATTCCTATATTTTTCATAACTATAGAACATTATGTTAGCTTCAGATAGCTTTACATACCCGCAGATTTCATTTAATTTGAACTACTCTAACTCAAGTTATCATCAAAATAGTGAAAACATGTTATCCACTAACAAAAAATAAAATAAAAAACATATGTTCATCCTACCTTCAAGCTTCACTCAAGATCCTAGTTGGCAATTCGGTCCTGAATTAAAACAGCCCCAAGGTTTAATATTTGTACAAAATGTATCAAGAACATAGTCTATATACATAATTTATACCTCAAATTTACATAATACAACATTAGAATTCAATTGTCTTCACTACAAAGAACTATAATAAAAATACATCCATGGACATCTCAAACTAAATTTGTGCAGCCAAAACTACTATCTAATTAGCTTCCGTATTACTTGGTCTAGCCTTAGCATCATTGGTCCTTAAAAGTAAAGCCCCAATAAAGGGTGAGATTGAATCTCAAAATGAACCGGTTTAGAAGAAAAATATAAACCCGCAAGCCTTAGTGATTCCTTGGTCTCTACAAAATATAAAACTTAAACAATAAAATATCTCGACCAGTATGTAATGACAATAATTTTTAGATTCCATTCTAGCTCCACTCTCTAAATAAAATGAAAACGCATTTTAGGCTCTTAGCTATAAATATAGTCACACTTTCAATTAAGAAGCATGTCAAGGTCAGGAAATAAACTCCGAAATCCTTGCCGAGCATGAAAACAATTATAATTTGATCATATCATTTAAGTATGCTTTAACGGCTGTTCTACCAACTAATAAAATAACTCATCACTACAACAACACTTCGGAACAAAATGTAATTTCCCAATAGTCAGAAAACCGACAACTAGGCCATGAAGAAGTTATAGAGCAAACAATAAAGGAAACTAAAGGGATAATCAAATTAAAAGCTGAGAAGGGGTATCTTTCAGGGCACAGGGAAGTACGACGTCAGCAAACCAGAATTACCAGAATTCTACATCAGCAATATCCAACAAAATCTTCTGTCATCGAAAAATAATTCAACCTCTCCCAACCACCAAAAAAGCACGATCCTCATAAAGATAATCACTCTACATGTATGTTCCTGGGTGGAGTATTCTTGCAACCTATAAATTATAATCAGACGAATGAACCAGTTTTCATAAAATGAATGCTCTTGTTAACCATATGATGCAAAATAGAATGAAACAACGGACCTAGACATCATTATACATGCATTTTTATATCACCTAAAATCTCTCAAATCAAAAGTTAAGGCAAACTCAGTGAAGCACTTTATATTCAGACAGGTATAATAAAAACACTAATTTTCGAAGTTGCTGAAATTTTTTCTCTAGCAACTACTGTATTGAAGTAAAGGATATAATCGCCAGACAAAGACAACATGAATGAATTATTTGCAAGTTAATTTTCTTAAGCTTGATATTCAAACAGCTGCCACTTTTAAGTGCATCTTCTCATACACACCATCCAAATTCCAAGATAAGAAATCAACTACGGGGAAAGGAGCTGAATGAATGCACCTTTTATTGGGACCCGGGCTTAAAATCTTACAAATATATAAGATGGGAAATGCACCAACGAAAAAAAAAAGGGGACAAAATAAGGGGGGAAAATGCAAAACCTCAAATCAGATCAAGACAACAACTTAACAGCACTAAGGGTTCCATAACTCATCCTATGTGGCACACATATATATCGAAAAAACATAAATTGTTTGTGTATAAATGACCAAAAATATAAAGTAGGAACTATGACCTGGTTTAAGAAATGGGAAATTTCCAGAAACTCACCTAGTAGCTACTGAGTTAAAAAGATGGCAGTGGGACTTCCAGGGGATGGAGGATTTTGATTTAGTAGAGAAGTTAAAGATCCAGCTTTAGCTAAAGAATCAGCATCAGTTGCAGATAAAATTTCCACATTTTCTAGACCTATCTGTCTCTTGATCAGGTCCAAGTTTTCCTGAAGAACCTCAATTTCACCAAACGGCAATCTCAAATCCAGGGCTTGAGCTCCAAGTGCAATCGCTTCTTCCTTCTTAAACCTCAAGAAAGGCATACATAACTTTTGGATTTGCTTAAAATTGGAAGATTGACCTACAGAACTCTGCTGTAAAGCCTCCAATATCTCTGAGTCAGGAGCAAAAGTTAGAGTTTCTCTGTTAATTTTTTTCTGGAGAATACTCAGGCACTCGGCTTTCCAACCATCAAACTGTTCATTTACATATACCAGGCCTGTTACTTTGTTTTCTGTCAGTGATGCAACTGGAGGACCTTTCTTATTTGCTTTCTTTGAGCCTGAAAGTTGCTTCTGAAGCAACTTCCTCATCAAAACAATCGAGTCCTGTAGATATTTATTGGCACTCTTCAGTGTAAGATCAGGAGCATCAGCTGTCGGCCAGCCTGCATTCACCACAAAACCATCTTTCTTCAAAAGCTCTCTCCAAATAAATTCAGCATAATGCGGACAGATAGGCGCTAAAAGACGTGTCTGCACATCCATAAAGCGCCACACCAAGTCACGATTGTAACCTCCAACCCCACATGAGAATCTATACTCATCCCTGGCGGCTTGAAGATCATAAAAGCCAGTCTTGAGAGCTTCTCGAAACATGTAGTTGGAGTAACTTTGCTCAGTTGTTTTGACAGCAATGTTAATCTCATTGACAAACACATGATCAGCATAAGTAGATGGGGGACCAAATCGCATAGAAGATTCTGCAGCCAGAATCTCTTCATACCATGCAATCTCTTTGGTGAGCCGAAGAATTGCAGCATTTGCTGTCTCAAAGACAAAATTTGCATCATCAACGCCATCACCAGCATCAGCCAAAGAGAACCGTGTAGCGTCGGCAGAAAACTCCTCAATTGCTTGATGCAATGTCCTGAAATTTCCGGTAGACTTGGACATTTTCTCAGAATTGAGCATTATGTGGCCATTACATCTAAACCCGCGAGGCCAGTGATGCTTGGACATAATTGCAGTATGGTTGTAAATGCAGAAGGTAAGATGATTCTGGATGAGATCCTTACCAGAAACGCGAAGATCAAATGGATACCAATACTCAAACTCTTGCTTCATTCTGTCTAAAAGGGATGCTGAAATATCAGTTGACTTAGGGTATGGTCCACAACAGAAAATATAATCCCAGACATCATCGGTCAGTTGTTGAGGTTTGATGGCAGACTCGGTAGATCCATACATATCACCATTCTGCAAATGATGGGCAACTGTGTAATAAGCCATGTAAATGGTGGAATCCGATAAAGACTCGACTAAGTACTGTTCATCCCACGGTATGCGTGTCCCAAGACCAAATGATCGTGAGCAAGCCCACTGGTTCAGCCAGCCTAAAGTATGCTCAAAACCATGTCGTGTTTCATCAGAATACAAGCTCATGCTAGACAGGCACTCCTCAGCTAACTTCTTCCATTCTGATTCCCCATATGTAATGTACCACTGATCTGTAAGAGCTACAATACACTCATCACCAGATCTTGACATCACCCGCTTCTCGGGCTCACTGTAGACAATAGCCTGACCTGGACCAATACTGAAATATATAAGAATAATAATATCATACAATACATTTAAAATAAATTATTGCAAAGGTGATGGTAGACCTGTTTCCAAAAGCTTGCTCCTTATCAAGGGTTTAGCTTCCTGAACTTTCTTCCCTGCAAATTCTCCAACAATCATTGTTCCTTCAGTGAATCCTTTCAGGTATGTTTGCTTCTTGGCTTCTGCAAGCTTTTCTTTATCGTTCTGACTTTTGATTTTCATCTGCAAGCAAACAGTCTCTGCACACTTGTTTCCAAACTGCGGAACTTCAATGATAGGCACAATCTCAAAAGGCAATACCCATTCATCCTTAACACCATACTTTGCCCTAAGAGCTGGTTTTGACTTTAAATCATGCAAGGCCATATAGTCATCCGGAGCATCACTAGGTACACTTGTTACTACCCCAGTACCTTTATCCATCAAAATAGACAACATAGGAAGAGCATAAATGATGTCATTAAATGAAAGAGGAGATTTTAATGGAAGGCCAATCAAGTCATAACCAATGATCTCAAGCAAGCAAGTGGGTTTCTCAGGGACCCGTGAATGGTTCTGGTAGGCAAGGTTAAGAGCAGCTCTATGTGCCAGAATAAACACCTCAGTTTCATTAATTTCAAAGGCTCCATACTTCCCATCAGGTAACACCCATGCATTCGTTTGCCCATACATGGTCTCAGGTCTCAACGTTGCAGCAGCCAGGAACACCTTTCTTCCCTCAAGCACCCCAAACTTAGCAGGGAAAGGAGGAAGCAACTCCATCTTGATAATAGTGTACTCTTGAGGCTGAACTCCTTCTCCACTTGCTCTATCATGATCTGCACAAGGCTGGCCATCCAAAGGAGAAAAGATTGTATATCTCACGTCCTTCACAACCTTCCCCATGGACTTCAACTTCCTCATCTGCCACCTAACAAAGGAATCAAAATAAGGGTTCATATCTGTTGTGATGAAGGACCTTCTCCAATCACAACCCAACCCAAAAGCCTTAAGGTCCTCCACAGCCAGTGGGGGAAAGTATGAAAGCCACTTATAAGGATCCTGAAACTTAGATATCTCACTATCAGATATACCAACACTACGCAAAATCTCCCACTGGTAAATTTGTCCACTTGATTTAGCAGCAGCCTTGGACTTTTTCCCCTTGAATTTCTCAGGAGGAGCACCATCACCATCCTCAGCCTTGGAAGGCTCATCTGCTTCTTGTTCCTTCACTTGAGCATGAAAAACAGGTGGGTCTCCGAATTGTTGGATCTCTCTGGCAAGTTTATCAGCTGAAGCTTTGATGGGCATGCCCGTGCAATGAAAAGCAAAGGGAAGGAGCACGTTGGCACCTCTTAGTCTGTGAAAAGCAGCTGCAAACTCTAGCTTGGAAAGTGAAAACGCATGGCCAAGGTGTAAATAACCATTCATATAAGGGAAGGGGAAGTTTCCGAAGAACTTTTCGCCCGGTTCAGGAGGTTTCTCGCCCGGTTCAGCCTTGAAAATCTCTTTCTCATCCCACCATTTCTGAACCTTCACCTCAATCTCCCTCAGACGATCCCTCCTCGCAAAACTCTTCCCACCCTCGCTCGCCATATCCGTTAGATGACGGCAACTGCACACAAAAAATCAACGATCTCTCAAATCTGAAACCAATTAGCAATTACCAAATACCTGAAGAAAACTCCAAAAATGGATAGAATCGGATTATAGTGTTGCAGAATCAAGAGCAAAGTAAACACAAACTGAAAAGACCTGTGTGCCACTGAACTTTGAAAAGAAAGAATAGAGTGTGCGAGGCGAGAATGGAGGCGATAAATCAACATACAGTGAAACCAAGAAGGATAGAGAAGCAGACAAGGGTTTTGCATCACCCTAACAGGCCCCAATCTATTATCTGCCCCAAGCTTTAACGCCCCTTCTGCAGTACTACATTTTCAAAAAAACCGAAATTATAAAGAGAACAAAAATTGATTTTTTTTTTTTTGTGAGAGAAAAATGGGTAGGTATTTTTTTGTTAGTGACCAAAAAGGCCTTTTCACAATCACACACATCATGAAAAGATGGAAACAAATTCAGTTATATTATAGAACAATTGAATTAAAACAGAAGCATAAGCATTCCATTAACAAACCAATTAAATAAGACAAATAAAATAATAAAATAAAATAAAGACAAACTGAAACTGTTCTATGTTCCTAAAACACTATGAACAAACCAATTTGACTGTGTTGCTTATTTGGAGACAGGTATGGTTCTTTTTTTGAGATTTTTCATTCCTTAATAAGAGACTAATATAATAAATTGACCGTGTTCCTACAAAAAAAAAAAATATAACAAAAGAATATGCAAAACTTATTAGTTTATTACAAAAAAAAAAAACCAGTAAATGGTGTCTACCAAATAATATAACTAGATCAAAGCAAACAAAGAATGAAGTTAGACAAGATTAGTACAAAGACAAGTGGACACATTCTTTACTTCATGTTACACCCACTGCACAGGTTTGGAAGTAAAATAGAAAAAGAAATTTGAGGAATTACTTTCTTTTTATCTGGTTTAAGAAAGGAAACAATGCTCCCACATTCAATTGTTTGGTATAACAAACATTCTAACCCTAAAGCTAAATTGAAACAAAAGATTTTGCTTCAGAGAAGTGGTGCTCAAAGCCCATTGTTATGCCATTCAAACCTTTGGCTGTGACAGATTAATACCTGGGTTTAGTTTTGATCGACGTGTGATTATGCACTACCATTGTTGCCACATCATTATGATAACCATTAGGTTTACAAACGATTTTAAAGAGTAGAGTTTATTTAGACTCAAAATTAAGCTCATGTTTTAATTCCAGCAAAAGCGTAGCTCAACATGTATGAAGTTTCGAATAATCAAACAGAAATCCAAATGAGAAAATAGAGGAGCAGTTATGGTAACTATTCTTACTCAGAGAGCACAAATGTTAGCGGAAAACACAAAAGCATATTCATAAATCATGGTAGAGATTGAACAAAGGAGTTTAAAAAAACCACAGAAAACAAAAATCAAACCAGTAAATCGAAAAGCACACAGCGAGACCAGTAGACCACAGCAAGAGAGGCGGATGACAGAGACCAGACGCCCAGACCAGTGAGATGGAGGCAGCGATAACGAAGGAGAGGAGAAAGAGGCAGACGCGAGGCGGATGGATGGCGAGAGAGAGAAACGATATGCACTTTAGGTTAGGGTATTTGCGGTATGGATTGGATCGGTTTTGAAGAAAAAAAAATCATCCGATTCAATTCCTTCGGCTTGATCATTTAATCATCCAATCGATTTGGATTTTTTTTTTTTTCAAATCCGATCCAATCCAATTCAATTTTTTTTGATTTGGATTGGATCGTTTTCGGTTTTTTGAAAAGCCTAAAAACAGAACTTATAAGAATTATTTTTAGAAAAAATGAGGAGTATTATTTGTCATGGATCCTTTGTACTTGTAGTAGCAGAAATTTTTGGCAATACCGTAGTAGTAAGTCTTCCAAAATCACTAATAAAAAAAAATACTAAAATATTAGGTGTGTCAGGTGGGTAGTTTCTGATCGAATAATTTGTTTACAGCTCTTAGTGAATGTCAGGTGTGTCATTTTCAAAAGGTTTTGGCAGCAAAAAAGATGCTAAAATATTATGGCAGTAGGTGATTTACACAATCCTATGTGCAGAATACCAAGTATAATATAGAGGTAAAACTCTCATACTGTTATTACTCCAAGAGAACCATATTAACTTTTTCGATAGCAACTCAAGTGAACCATATTAAAGCATATAAATTAACCATGGAGGAAAGTTAAGGGAAATATATAGATGGTGACTAACTTTTCTTTTTTTACCTTAATTATTGTATAAATCATATTTGGGATTTGGCTAGTTAGAGAAGAAAAGTTAGGAATTTTTCAGTGGGTAGCTATAGTTACTGCAGGACAAGTTAGAGAAGAAAAGTTTGTATAAATCATATATAAACTTTTGATTTCCCTTAAATTATTTTGAATAATCAAATAAGCATAGCCATTAGGTACACGGCCTTTTAGTCATTCATAATACTAAAGTATCATTACAGGACCAAGTCTTATATTATAATAATATTAATTATACATATATTGATTTGAAAATTGTAAACCCCGTTCGGTGACATGTATGTTTGAATTTGAAGCAGGTATCGAATTGGTTTAGTAATGCAATGGTGAGGCTATGGAAGCCAATGGTGGAGGAAATGTACTTGGAGGAAGTGAAGGAGCGTGAAAACAATATGGCTTCCTCGGAAGGGGGTAACTATCCCAACGATGATATTAACTCTCTAATTAGTGTTGTATTGTGTCTGTGACTGAGAGGGAGCTTGAAGAAGAAGTGATTTGAAAATTTGAACAAAGGACCCAAAACCCAAATTGGGAAACCCCAATTACCAAAATCAAAGAAATCCAAATCTTTCATCTAAATCAGCTCCAAAATCCAAAAAATGCATCAAAAAAGAAGATATAATATTTACCACAAGAGAAACATCAGTTATATCCATCAAATTAGAAGTATAGGGTACTCACAGTCGTAGGTTGCTTGTGTAGAGAGAGTGACGAAGAGTGAGAGAGATGCACCCAATGAACGCTTTGGTGTAATGGAGAAATGGTGCCAAGGTTCCAACGGAATGCTCTTAAAAATGGAGTCTCCCACACCCAATGAAGATGGCTTCGAGTGTGAGACTGTGAGTGAAGTGAGCGACTGCGAGAAGAGTGACCGACACTGTTAACTGGCCCGAGGTCGAGGAGCTTTGCTTTGATCTTAAATGGTTAAGTCTGTGATTAAATGTGTCGGCCTTACCAAGACGGTTACCTATTACGAATATAATTATTGGTTTGTGCCCTGCCTTATTTACAAAAATAAAAGCCTGATTTGGCCTGTTAGCCTGTTAGAAAAAAAATAAGACAATAAAAATTTATCCAAACAAAATATACAATCAACAACACTAGTAATTCCATAAATATTCATAAATTCAATGTATATCGAAACAACATAATATAGAACAAAATCATTCAAAAAGTCTATTTAACTAATAAAATAGGAATGAAATGGATTGAGAGGAGAGAGAGAGGCCTGTTACAAATAGTATAAAAAATATAAATAAAAATAAAAATTAATATACTAGGTCAGCCTGAGAGGCTCCAAGGCCGAGCTTTTGAATTAGAGCCTGAGGCTTTTTTACTAAACGAGCTTTTATACAAGTCCAAGCATGTTTCCAACAACCAATATTAGGCATGTAAGCCTGAGTCTTCACGAGTCGAGCCAAAGGCCCTTGGCTCGTTTATCACCCCTACCCACAACAGATGAACAGAGCGTAAGTTTGGACTTTGGATAGGTTTAGAATTTTTTTGCGTTTCAAAGCCAATTAGGGGTGTTCATCAACCGATTCAAACCGCAGTAACCGAACCGAAAAATCGAAAACCGAATAAATCGAAAACCGAAAAAAAACCAAATTTTAATTGGATTGGATGGTTTTCGGATTGGTAGATGAAAACCGATCCAATATATTAATTTTCCTCTACCTACTTGGGTCTTTCCCCATCATAGTCCAAAAATTTCTAAACCCAAGACTCATTAACCCATCAACTAAACTCAAGAAAAAATTTAGTCACGTCTCATCTACAAAATTTTATATATGTAGAGCTTCATATCCTATTATTGTTCAAAAAAAAAATTTATATTATCGTTTACTGATACTTTTGTAATTTAAAAAAATAAAATTACAAAGCCAATATATACAAAAGATGTTATTTGAACAATAATCAAGAAACAAATTTTAGAATTTTAAAAAAACCGAAAACCAATCCAATCCAAAAAAATTGGATTGGATCAGATCGGATTTGAAAAAAAGTCCAAACCGAATGGATGATTATGTGATCAAACCGAAGGGACTGGATCGGATGATTTTTACTTCCAAAACCGATCCAATCCAGACCGTGAACACCCCTACCAATTAGGTGGGTTTATGGGTGGGTTTAGAATTTTGGGTTAATGGGTGGGATAGGCCAATTAGGTAGAAAATAAGTTTGGATTGGATCGGTTTTTAATATTCAAATCGAAAATTGATCTAATCCAATTAAAATTTTGCGGGTTTTTTTATTTTTTAATTTTTCGGTTATCGGTTTTTCAGTTCAGTTAATGCAGTTTAAATCGGTTTGGATCAGTTGATGAACACCCCTACTTTAGGTTAGGTTTATGTTTTTATTAAATGTTATTTCTTTTTAAAAATATTTAATTTTATTAATATATTTTAGCTTTTTTAAAAATATAATTTTTTAAAAAAATATTATGTATTTTATGAAAATGTCATTTGACCGTGTCGGACACGGTCAAATTCACGCGATCCTTAATTTCTAACAAATCTCAAGTTCTAAACCCTAGCCCTAAAGTAGTACGAATGATTATATATATATATATATATATATATATATATATATATATATATATGGTAAAATGATTTGTAATGTGACTGCATATAAGCATTGGTGCAGTCACCTAAAAATTACGTCATTTTGGGTGGGATAAAGGAAGTTCGTGTTCAAAATTAATTGTAGAAAATGGAAATATTATATTTATTTTCACTTTTGTATGGTTATGATTCCTCATATTTAATACTTTAACACTATAAAACGACGTAGTTTTATATCACTGTATCAATCCTTAGGTGCACGCTAAATCTTTTATATATATATATATATATATATATATATATATATATATATATATATGGTTTTAATGTTTCTAAAGTGAATGTACATAAATTATTTACATTTGCTTCTAAAAATAAAGTCGTTTTGAATTGAGAAATTAAAAAATTATAATTAAAAAGACTATTATAAATCAGTCGAGGTGAACACAAGCACAAGCCAAAAAAAGTAGATTAATTTATGAGATAGCCAAAACGAAATGGGCATCTTACAACAGCAGAGAATAAAAGAGAAGGGGAGATCTTGGAGTTGGTTCGGAATACTGATTTTTTAGTACTTGGCGAGGTATACACAGGTAAATAGTTCATTGGAATTCATGCTCTCTATAAGTTTTGTTACTGTTCCAATATTTAAGTGTAGTAAGTTCTGGTAATTGGTTTTATTCTTGAAATGTGGAGGCTTTTCTTGGAGAACATGCTCTTCTCTGCCACTAAAGTTTTGAAAATATGAATTTATTTATGATTATCATGTCTCTTATATGTTAATGTTTGATAATATTGATGCTTAGTATTAAATTGAAGAGGAACATTGTTGCACCTCAACCCAATGGGCTCAGTGAAACGAGGCTCACTCGCAATACCAAGAAGCCTGCATATTTGCAGGATTATTTTCAATAAGTAAATAAAAGATGTATTAGTGAGTTTATGTAATTATCAATGGTTGTAATTAGTAAACTTACATAAGGAAAGCATATTGTTAGAAAAGTAGTTAAATAGCCCATGAGGGGCGTGAATAGAAGATATTGAAAGTTTGGACAATCTCTCTCTTATCTTGCAAATCTCTACCCTCTCTCTCTATCTTCCTCTGGTTTCTCTCTTTCTGTTAATTCTAGATCTAACCTCCTACAATTTGGTGCTTTCATCGATCTCTTCCTTCCAGCTGTTGGCCGACAACACCCGTGCCCGTGACATGCATCATCGCCTTGAAACGCTTGAACAACAATTCCAGGCTGCTGAGTTGGTTCGCGAACAACAGCACCGGGCGTTACAGGAATCACAGACCCTACTCCATGAATCTCAGCAGGAAATCCAGGACTCCCAAACATGTTTTCATCGGGACCTCAATCGTTTGATAGAACTACAACAACAGAACTCGACGGGGCATTCCCATATCCGTGGGATTTTGGGCTCCGGACCTAGCGCTGGTGCTGCTTCCGGTGCTGACGGTTCTAGATCCCGCCAGGTGAAACTCGATTTCCCTCGTTTTTCCACTGGAGATCCTACTACTTGGATAATTGCGGTAGAACGTTACTTCACGTTTTACCAAGTTCCTTTGGTTGATCGTTTGAATCTCGCGGCCTTTCACTTAGATGAACCCGCCGCCAGTTGGTTTCACGGTTCCGATCAGAATGGGTTGATGATCGATTGGCGAACGTTCTGTGTAGCTCTTCATCGTCGGTTTGGCCCGTCCGAATTTGACGACCCAGCTGGTGCCTTAGCCAAGATCCAACAAATCGGATCTGTTTTGGATTATCAGGCTTCATTTGAAAAGCTGGTGAGCAAGGTACCCGGCCTCTCAGCCACCTTACTTCGCAGCATTTTTATCTCAGGTCTCAAAGCCCATATTCGGCATTCTGTGCTAACCAACAGACCGTCTGATTACCACGAAGCATTTTCTTTGGCTAGAGTATATGAAGATCAGGCTGGGGAGGTTCGTACCCCACGTCCTTGGCATTCTCTTCCTAAACCAACCACTCTCACTACTTCCAACAGTGCCTTTGCTCCTATCCTTGCTATACCCATTCGACGCCTCTCCCAAGCTGAAAGGAAACTCAAGCGGGAGCAAAACTTATGTTATAATTGTGACGAAAAATACTCATTCAGCCACAAATGTAAAGACCGTCCTTCGTTACTGTTAGAATATTAGATATGATATGATTAGATTTGATTAGATATGATTGGATTCTGTCTTATACGTAAATAGTCTGACTGTATTCTGACTGTATTAGGATTAGGTTTGGATTAGGTTTGGGCTTTACACTTAAGCCCATTAGGGTCTCTATATATTGTAACTCCCTGACACAGATCAATACACAACGTATTCTTTTAAATTTAACTTGGTATCAGAGCTATTTCGTTCTGGGAACCCTCGCTTCCGCTTAGAAATCTTGTTCTTCGCTTTAAAACCTAAGCCCACTGCTTAGGAGTCATCTTTTCTTTGTCGTGCGTCCTTCCGGTAAGATATCAAAGGCTGTAAGTCCTCTCCAGGCATCTTCTGCACGTGTCCACAGTCACCGGAGCACCATCAGCCACCGTCAGCCACTGTTCAGGCTGCCGGAGTACTTTTCGGGCGAGTTTTCAGTCTGGAACGAACGCGAACAGAACCCTCTCCTCCCGGCGACCTGCTCTGTGGAAGTCCGGCCACCATCGGAGTTGTCACGCGCTCTCACGCGCCTCCAGTCTTCTCTGCGCGTGGGCTTCACGCGCCACCTTCTGCCGGCGCGTGAGCACTATTCCGGCGGCTTTTTCCGGCCGGTCTTGGACAGAGAAGCTCGTCTTCTTCTCCTCTTTCTGGATCTGTGGTTGGTTCTTTGTGGGTCTGACTTTTTGTGCGTACCTCTTCTTGATTGGTGATCAGGTTCGTTTCTCTTTATTCGGTTTGTATCTTTGTGATTTGATATGGCAGCAAACCCTCCAATTCATTCGGAGGTCAAGTCTTCATCTCCTCCTTTGAGAAATTCTCCTAATATCATCTCTACCAATATTGGGTCCATTACCTCTTCAAAATTGAAGGGATCTGTTAATTACAAGAACTGGGCCACCTCTGTTCGAGTTTGGTTCTTTGGACAAGGATATGGGAACCATCTCACAACTAAGTCTACTGATGTCCCTAAGGAGGACAAGTCTGATTGGGAAAAGATTGACAACCAACTTCTGAGTATCCTCTGGCAATCCATTGATCCGATTGTCTTGGATATCTTTTATTCATTTCAAACTTGCACTGAAGTGTGGGAGGAAGCAAAAAACCTCTACACTAATGATGTTCAGCAGCTCTATTTCATCATCTCTCAG